TGTCATGTTGATTTCCCGTGGACGGAGTTCGGTATTTCAAAGGTTGAACTGCACAGTCATCTTCCAAATGAAAAGAGAACAGAGCCGCGGACATTTGTGCGCTTCATAGCGGAAGTGGTCCAGGCAGAAGGTGCCTTGACACTGACCTGAGCCCGCGAAAAGGGAGGGGAGGGGAGCGCAGGGGAGCGGAGGGGAGGCGAGGGGAGGCGAGGGGAGGCGAGGGGAGGCGAGGGGAGGCGAGGGGAAAAACAGCCGTGGTGACCGTAACCGGAATCCGTTAGTATAGAACCCGTTCAGGGCGCCCTGGTAATCCAAGCAGCCACATGTGAAGGGTAAGAAGTCCAGGCGCGAGCACTCTTTGACACCGCAGTGCGCCCCTGCATTGCTCAGAACAGCCATGCACGCTGGCAGGAAATTGCTATTCAGGCATGTGGGCAGATTCTGGTGCGCACCTCCATTTTGTACTGGTCATTTGGTGAGTGTGCCCAAATGTGACCCCAAAAAAAGTGGTTTGGCTGGTGGCTTCCCTTCAAACCAAGCGGAAAGGGATGCCCTCAAGATACACACCCACATGTTTGGGATTCATCTGGATTTGGAAATGGTCACGTTGATTCGATCTGCTGCCCTTTTGCTACCCTGAGCATTGGCCACCACAATGTTGGTAGGGCGCTTCATCTTTCGTGCTTGAGCCCGGTGACAAGTCGCGGCAAACAAGTCAAATACAATGAGATCGCATCTTGTTGGAAAATCACAGCTGAGTCGGCAGCATCGGTCCACCACTTGACGAAGGAGACCTCTCAAGTAAAAGCACAGGGCCGAACTCTACGTATGTAAGCTGCACGACGTTCTTAGCTCCTTCCCTTGGCTTCAACTTAAGCAAACTCAGTAGCTCATACAGCACTTGCGCTGGCGCTATCAGGCATCCAACAGCGCAAGTTATCCTGTATTGCAAAGCACCCATGCGCTGATCTCAAGTGAGATACGGTCTGTGTTGCATCCCCAAATGACGTGCACCTACCGACACCGGGCAAGGCAAAGCATGAATGAACTTCTGCAAGACACTCTGCCAGAGATTCAGAAGGAGGTGGGCCTTTTCACACTCTACTGATGCCTCCGAGTGTCTGCTCACTCTTGTGCAAGCACGTACATCTGCCCCAAGGAAATGATGCGACGTTTTACAAGGGCAGGCCTGTTGTGGTCTAACGACCTTGAAGCCACATCTTCAAAGTCATGAAGCAGCCCTCTTTACATGGCTTGCCTGCTTCAGGCCAAGCAACATGTCCAAAGAGGGCAGCTGATTTTGGACCCAACCAAATGTTTTCGCCTGCAGCGGCAAAATCAGCCATGCGTGCCTGCCAGATCTGCCGCCACGCGGCCAGTGAACCTTCGAATCTGCGCATTTCGGCCGGCCAAACCAACAGGTCTGCACATATGAGTGCCAAAACCAGTTGGACCCTCCTGCCCTTGGCTCCCAGTTTAAGATCGCGCCAAGAAGGAAAAATGGCACTTCTGCACCTGGCTTTGACAGCAGCTAGGCAGGCTGGAAGTGTTGTCGCGCAATATAGCTACTTTTAAGTGAAGTAGTAGGTTTTGGGGTTGATCAAGCCGTGCATTGGAAACCCTGCTTGAGGAATTCAGGCGAGACGGATTTGCAAAAAACACTGCCGGCTCAGCCGACTGCGTTTTGTGTGGCAAGCGTGGGACGGTCAATCATCACACTGTTGTAAAATTATACCGGTCCGAAATTGGCCGCGCACACCACCGTAGCTCTCTCTTCCTGGAGGATTCTAGGGGGAAAGGGTTGTAATCGCGTTGACCTTCAAAAACCGCAACTTTTGTCTGGCCAGCACATTACGGCAGGGGCGTTGCCTTGAGAGTAAGCTGACCTGGCTTTTGGCACCAATAGCCAATGTGTACAGAGCAGAGGTGGAACAAATGCGATCGCCATGTTAAAGGGCTGCATCGCCCGGACCAGGGCGAGCCAGCGCAACACAACTGCACGCAACGAACAGGGCAGCTGCTCATTGCCCTTTTGAACCTACCAGGCGGCCTCGCTGTACGTCCACGCAAGAGAACGCACGACCGATACCGTGAACTCGTTACCCACCTTACTCGCAGGTGTGAGCCCGAAATCTCTGGCTGCGTCGATGTTGCGGAACTCTGCGGCCCTCCGTAGCTGACGGCCAAGCGCGTCCGACCTTCACGGGTGGCTGTTGTGAAGCACTACGGTCTAGGTCGGCCCTTGCGCGAAAGTTGCTTTGCTCCTCTTCTCGTTCGTCCGTGTTTCTTGCTTTTCTCCTAGAACTGCGCGAAACAGGCAGAGTAGATTCACCCAGGTCCCTCTCGTTCGCTTGGAGGCCCCAGCCACTCAGTGGGCCGCACCAAGACGATCACCGCGCCGTCCTCGCTGGAAATACACTTTTGGAGGAACCCTCTTTGGGGGTATTAATGATAATTATAGGGAAACCAAAGGGAAACCTTGCCATTTTGGGGGTTCCCCACAATCCCTGCACCCTCCCCCCTAGGCGATTCCATGGAATCGATAATGTGGATAAGGAAGGCAAAAGGACACAGAAGGGGCAGCCGAACAAGAAAGGGACACAAGAGCACCCAAAAGATGCAAGCAAATAATTTGAAACCAAAACGATGCCAAAGGCTGCTAACAAGAACAAAGCAAAAATGACGCAAACAGGAAACCAACCTTTTACCAAACACACACACACACACATACAAGCCGATAGCTGCCACAACATAGGAATAGGTTCGTCAAGCGTCTGACAGGCAGGGTGGGACAGGAAACAACAGAAAGCTAGTGAAGCTGTGAGTGTAAGTTGTCCAGATTGAGAACAGCTTCACAGAGAGAGCGAGAGAGGTAAAAACAGGAATGAATATACGTGCAGATAGCCAGAGCAGTGCTGAAAGCCAGACAATATCACATGTTAATCGCGACTTATCGACTGGCAAGTGGAAAGGCGGGAGAAGCAATTCACAGGAGCATGCATCAGGTCATGACGGAAAGTCCTGTGCGTCGGCATGTGCCAGTAGCCAGCGGCGGATAGCCGCCAAATCAGACCCCACCTAGCGGTCAAAGACCAAAACGCTCTGGAAGCAGGTGCCTTCCCAAACGGCGACAAATGTTCATTGGGGTTCCTTTGGTGGGCATCTTTGGCATGGGAGGTATCTTCACCATGTTTGAGGGCATCCCCCATCAGAATTCATAGCTAAATCCACACGCAAACCCCATGGCGCTTAGCTGCGTTGATGTCTTATTCCTTCCCTCTTCCTCCCCTCCGCTTTGGGGAGTGCTAACCTACACCCAAAACACATCAAAACACACCATGGCACACATCACGTGAATTTCGTGCGTAACGGACATTTGTGACTCTTAATGTGCTATGTTCAAAACCGTAGCTGCCTCAGCCGCCGGCTTTGAAGGGGTCCTAAAGAAAAGGAGCAACCACAATTTTGACCACCCATTTCAGGGTGTTCACGTCACGGGTTGGCCCAATGTTTGCCCTTTCGGGGTGGTGTGTTGAGAGAAATATTAAAGAGGTCGATATAGCCATAAGGTGTTCAATCCCCGGTCTTTCAGGAACCGCCCATGTTGGCTCTTGGCCCCCGAAACCACATCCCCCCCCCCAAAAAAAAAACAGGTTAAGATCCGCATGTCGCCTTCACCATCCCTTGTATCTGGTACATGTTGTGGGCTTTGACACACCCCAAAACCTCAGGTTGAACGCCCGGGTTGGCCCTTGGCCTCGATTCGATTCGGTTCAAGTGCCTGCAAGAGTCCGGCGGCCGACAGGACGGCAGTTCGGCGAGCCCGACCTGGCGACATCAAAACGGCATGCGGGACTCCAAAATGGAAGGCGTTTTGACACATACCCAAAGCTGGTTTGACGCGCACACACACACACACCAAAGTATCAATAAGACAACTGGTATCAACTGATCACTTTGGTAGCACCGCCAACCCATTATCCAATGGAGTCCTGGACTGCACCTGGCCCTGTAATCCGGTTGCATGCAATCGAAGCCTTCAGCGAAGGAAGCGATCCTCGCTGGGGCTCAGGATCTGGGTGTGTCTCAAACTGAGGGGACCACAAAAAAAGGTTTGCCTTTTGGCTTCCCTTTAAACCACCCCGAAGAGTGCCCTCCGAACAAGCATGTATGACATACATATCGTTCAAGGGCTGCGCGACTAAGTGCGCGGCTGCGACAAAGCAGCTGCCACATTCGGCCCCACCACCTTGACACATAGGCAAGTTGGAACGTGTCGTGAGTCATGGTTGTGGAAATCACACGGAATCTGTGATACCAATATGGGCCTTCCCGTGGCTACTTTATCACTTTGAAGGGGAATCCTTTGGTATCACAGCCATGTCATCGGTGATTGACCTGCACTGCCAATCAGCACTTTGTCTAAGCGTGGTACCAAGGCTGTGCTCCTTGCTTGACCATGATCCAAGGCCTGCCAACAACCGAACACGACAACCGAACCGCTGAGCCGAGACTGTGTGCATGGCCTGCTTCAGGGTTTCTTCCACCACCATGGCAGGTGCAACCTGCGTCGGCGCTTGCCGGGGCTCCATTGTTTGACTATCAAGGGGACAAGGAGGTTCCCTTTTTGGCAATGAACCACTACTGCAGGGCAGCCAACAATGAAACCCTTTGCTTGTGTGCCCGGCTCCGCTTAGTGTCTGTTGAGTTGGTTGGAAATTGCGCGCCTTCCACCTCGACTCTGACGGCAGCGCCGAGATCTGAGTTGCAGCTGTGACTGCACCGAAACCTGCAGCTGCATTCGCTTATGGGAAACTTAGGGAAATGAAATGCAGCTGACCATGCGCAATCAACCAGCTGCGCCATCTGGCTGGCCTGAAGGCGTGTGGCTCCGCACACCTCTGCCACTCTGGCTGTCTCAGACCGCCGCTCCCACTCTGGGCTGGGGTCCAGAAACTGTTCTCCTGGGTCAAAATGAAATGCAAAGGTTGTGTTCCATCAAAGAGCCCCCCGGCTGCTTCCCTTACAAGGAGGCCCTTTGGGGACGAGGCTTTTCATTTGGGGACCCTCTCTTTGACCGCTGTCCCGCCTGCTGTCCCCACCTCAACGTCCAGCACCCGCCACCGGCCGTGGCGCCGCCCTCTGCGAAGGACCTCGCTGACAAGCGCCGCGGCCACGGAGTGCCGTCGGAGATAGCGGCACTTTGGGACCTGTCTCGGTGTCATTTGGTGCCACCGTTTAAGGCGGTCCAAAAGGGGCGCAACCCAAACTCATGAATGGTTCAGCAATCAAGAATCCGGTTGGCTAATTTAACATTTGCGTTCAGCTTCCACGCTTTGTCCTGGCCCATCAAAAGCCGAAGATGCCAAGTCATGGCGCCAAGGCGAGTCCGGGGAAACCTCCGGGGCCACAGCTGCCCGGTGGGCGATCAGGGACCTTCGCAAAGCCGAGATCTCCGGCCTCAATTGCTGGCCATCTCCCTGGAGACATGAGCCCCATGCCGAACTAAATGGAAAAGGACTTTGATCCCTGTCATTCGGCGTTCTTTTCTTAGACCATAAACCTTGACAAACAGTCCATGTCCACTACAATCAGCAGACCATCGGGATATTGACAGAACTCATTCCCAGCCATTTGCAGTGGCCAACTCACCTCACTGATTGACAGACTGACAAACAGACAGACTGACTGACTGACTGACTGACTGACTCGCTGACACCAAACACTAAGCAGAGCACCCGTCTCTTGCCCCGCTGTCCACCTGAGGCGAAGCCATATCACTCACAGAAAGTCTTCGGAGCTTTGAACTAGATGTTTGAAGTCAAGGTGCCCTCAATATCAGCATGGGCTTTTTCCAGACTCTCTCTGCTTCCTGAATAGCCCATTGACAGCTTTTGCCGTGCAGCTTGGAGAGACACTGTGGGCAAAGTTGCAAGAAACCGAACCCGTTTTAGATGCTTTCAGGAAGCCGACCCTGTTCGGAACCCTCCGGTTGCTTCATCATAGTGTTCCTTTGAGAGTTCCGTCTCAATTTGAGCTTGTTCATGTCCATTACAACCGGGAGTTGCGAATCAAAAGGGAGATTCTTGCCGCACCGACTTGTGATTGGGAGTGTTCCACACTTTCACTTACCCGGCTTTTGATTGTAACTTGGGCCCGTTCAATGGGTTCTGACAAATGGGTTCTGGGATTTCTACACACATGAGCCCCCTGATGTCAAAGGAGTGGGCCAAAGTCCCCTGAATTTCCCCTTCCAGTGGTTTTGAAACGCCCAGTTGAGGTGAGTTTCCGTTTGGGGTCCCCTGATCATTTGCTTCCGCTCAAACTGACAGAAGCCACCCGCCTGCAGCAGGACTCGCTGCGCGATGGGCAGGGCATCAGGTGGCACAGCGACGGCCTGCGAAGGCGAAGAAGAAGGGCACACCGAACAAATGGGTATGGATATATATATATATATATATGTATGCACACAGGCATGTGGAGAATTAGATGTGTGTATATATGTATATATGTATACAGTTTACAATATGTACATATGATATAGTTTAATTTGTTGGACCCTTTGTCCGGAACTCTGTCCACCATCCAGGTTTGAGGGGTCGGCAAATCGCTTGAAACCATGAGGCCCAAAAGCATTTGGTGGAAAAAGCCGCTTTGGTGCTGAGCAGGAACCCTGCCAAAGCAACGCATCGGGTCAAACAGTAAGATGCAATCTAGTGTTCTTTTCCTTTGGCCGTCCAAGCGTGCGAGCCCAACTCTTTCTGTTGACACCTTTGATCCTGTTCCACCTTTCACACATACACCGCGGATGTAAATTCAGATCAATCACCATAAATGGGCGAAACGAAACAATCTGTATAAACTAGGCTAAGTCGTTGTTCGTGGCCCCGCGCCACAGCAAATGGCTGACGCCTGCCACGTGCTCGTCAAACTCCAGTTTTGTCGCAAAGCCAGGATTCATTGGTAATTCCCGTGAATAAGTGACTCAAAGTCGATGCCCCACTGGGAAAGAGCGTTGCATTGCGAAATCAAAGGCCCGAAAAACAAGCAAACGAACACTATATGTCGATTTGTTTGTGGAACCAGCAGCTAAACAAATCACGGCCTCAAGTTGCTGCACAGCTAATGTTCGAGGGTGGCAATTGCAGCGAAAGAAACATAGACTGCAAGAGTCCCCATCATGCAAACTGAGTAGTCAGTGCCTGTGTGTGCATACTGATGTATGTGTTTAAATGTGTGCACGCGCGCCTTAGGGCCCCGGTGCGGCTGTGTGTTTGTGCGTGCAACTGCATATGGTCCAAACGGTAACACACACACACACACACACACACCCCAACGAACCCCCCCCCTGGAAGAAGTTGCAAAATGAGCGTTTTACACGGGGCCGTCTACGACGAAACTCGGGCATAAACTAACGTAAGTTTCACTTGAGACTGTCCTCGGAATGGGGAGGCGACTCATGCTAACCTTTGACCACCCGGGTCTTGATCGTGGCTCATTTGGCTGTCAAAAAGTTGGACCCTCTAGAGATCACAAAGAGAACCATGAACGCATCGCTTTGACATCTTTGCTCGGACTTGAATACTCGGGAACCCAACATGAAACCAAAGTGGGGCAAATCCAGCGTGTCGACCCGACCTTTTGGGCAACCAAGGACATACCGGATCCCTGAAAAAGTAAAGACTTTGAGAGCTCAACATGAATTGGGGCTCAGTTCCCCCCACCCCCCTTTGGATAAATTCAAAAAAGTGGCACTTCCCGGGATTCAGTTGGTCGCCTCCCTCACGCCAAACACAAGAGTGCGTCTTTTTTCGGGCACCCAAACAAAACCCCAAAGGTCTCCCTGCTGGTTTCCTCCTCCCCCGAAGCAGGGGGATTTTAGACAGACCCAAACGACAGAAACATCTTCTCTTGCCTGGACCTCCAGGCCCTCCGCGACGAACTCGTCGCCGAGCGCTCCCAAGAAGGCCTTGCCAGCCTCGACGTCCGGGTGACCGGGTGAGTCCTCTTGGTGGAGCTCCTCAATGTATAGAAATACATACATGTATATATATATATAATATAAATATATATAATACACATTGAATTATATGCCATATTCCATACACATATTATATAGATAAAAATCAAATTACGCATATATTATAATGTTCAGACAGGTCCCTATATGTTCACCAGCGTTCCTCTTCAATATGTTCGGTCAGTTGCCCTCTTTTTGAATGACTGAATGAACACAAATGGGTATGGGAGTTGTGTTACCATGGGCACCTCTTCAAGTGAAACCTTTGGCGAAGCATCCCTTGTTGAAATACCCGTGGGCTGTCTTGAGGGTACCCCTGTTTTGGGTGGTAAAACAATGGCGTAGATGTGTCCACCCTTCACGCTGAAGGTTCCACCAGAGACGTGGATGAGCTACTACCTTTCGAATGAGGAAGCGGTCCGTGGGAGAGTCCAGAGGGTAGCATGTTTCCCTTGAAAGTCCCGTGATGCTTCCACTGCCCGTCTGCTTGACTCGCGGACCGCAAGTCAGGTGTTTTGCCCATGACATGTGTTGAGCGCGGGGAAGCCTGACTGCTGTCCGCACTGTCGCTTGAGCTAGTCGATGTTGCCTGTCGCGTTGTGTGCTGGACGGCAGCATAAATGATTGGGTGCTCGGCCCAATGGATAGGCTGCTTACAACAGGTTTACTCCACTTCAATAACGAATAAGTGGGTTCTGAGCTGGGTTGCTAACCACTTGCCAGTGAGCGATTCCAGAATGAGGGATTCTCTCTTCAGCTAGCTTCAAAATGGAGCACGGGTAAACTTCACATCTGATCCATAGCGTCGCCCAGTTCAGGCATCCAAATCTCGTCAGCTGGACCCATATAGTCTCCGCCTTGTCAACTAGCACTGCGCAAGCAGATTGGAACATCTCTGGCCTCTCGTCCATCCACTCCTGTCAGGGCAAAGAAAGTTGGTTCACAAATAAAAATGAAGCGTGGGGAAATAGTGTTGTCCTCTGCTCATTTGGCCATGGGTCAAAAGCCGTACCCCCAGTGAACATCCCAATCCCCACCAAAATTGACTAAAATGGGTGGTGCACCTACCCCAAAATGGTACCATTGGTTTTGACCCACGGCCATTTGCTCATACCCATCTCAACTCCAAAGCATTGGTCTGCAGTTTCCACGCCGCCGCCCCCTCCCCCAACCCCCGCCTGCCCGCCAGAGGATCCAAGCTTTGCCCTGGCCATCCTTGGGTATCTGACATATGCGAACCCACCTTTCAAGGAAACCCCGCACGAAGACCACCGGCACTTGGCTCCACACTGGGTGGTGGATGTCCAAGCTCCAGGGGTTGGTCTGGTCACCCCCCGCCTTCTCAGATTTGCACAAGCGGACCGACAGAGCCATGGCGGTCCCACATCTCGCAAGCTCGCAACTTGACCGGGGTGGTCGGAAACTCTGAAGCCCAAGCCTCCACATGCTGTGCTCTTTTTGGGAGGGGCTTGTCTCACCATGCGCGTTTTCACAGGCGCATCCCTGAAACCTTTGCAGCGTCAAACAGCCCGTTACCTTCAGCTGAGACTTGTTGCACGCGTGCTGGGGTTTCAATCCTTGTCACACCTTGAGTGGATGACAAACGCGGTATCGCAACAGCGCACCCCCAGCTGCCTGCAATCCAACCCAAGTGTCCCACTGTCAACACTTTTGCCCTCACGCTACGCTTTGCGTGTCCTATCTCAGAGGGCATCGTTGGAGCTGGCCATCTGCGCCTGCATCCAAATCAAATGCTTCCGGACATGCTTCACACGGCATTGATCGAAGCTTGAAAGACTCCGCATGGGCAGCAAAACACCCAACTACCTCTTTGTGTCTTACATCTTCACACTCTTGCTTGCAACCAGGAACCACTCGGACCCGGACGTAGGCCATGGCTGAAAAATCGGCACCGGGGCTTAATTGGGACCCTTTAGTGGACATCATTTTACATTGATTTAACACCCACTCAACATATCTGAGGGTGTGTTGATAAATTCCTTAGCCGCCTTAGCCTTTGCTCGCTCTGCTCCAAATCACCGGGCTCTCGCAGATCTGATCCCTTCCGCTGCACCTCAGGCCCTTCCCCACGTGCGCCCTGTGACGTCATAGCCGCAAGCAACCGCTTTGACCAAAAAATCGCGTCGTGAGCTGAGAACGCCGCTCAGTAGCTGCGCCCAAACAGGCCCCACCTGCCAATATGTTCATGGCGAACACTTTCGCAGCAAGCACGGCCTCTTCGCCGGCTCTCCCGTGAAGAAGCACTTTGCTTCGCCCAGCGGGGGCTGGCTCAACCTAAGCCGGCGAAAAAACTGCGCTCCAAAAAACCTTGCCTGCTCGTCTGACTGCATACCCGCAAAAACGTGTTGTGCAAACTTTGTGTCATAAGTCGATGAGAAAGAATTGTGGCCCTGGCGGAATGCACAGGCTCTTCATGGCACCAGTCTGCCAATGTTATGACAAACGCGTGACATTGAGAGGTGCCGGGATGCACCACAGTCTACGCGCCAGGAGCACCAGAGCGGCATCATCAGCCGCCTACGGCAGCAACGGGAGAGGTGCAAGAAGAAAATAAACCCGAACGAATATTTGAGTAGGTGTATTTGTGTATTTTCAGGATACTCTTTTTGGGGTTGGTTTAAACGGAGGCCAAGAGGAAAACCGCCATTTTGGGCTCCCTAGTTGTAGAACCAAACCAGCCGAAACGTGCCTCCCGCGTCTGGCTCCGGATCAGCTTCTCAGACCTCAAATGCCACTAGGCAGGGCGTGCACGTACCCTCTGCTTCTCCGCAGTGTTCTGAATCCCCCTCTGGTGCATACAACCTACCAGCTTTCTCTGTACCTCCCGAAATCCAGCCCGGCTCCCTGAGCCGCGAACTCTGGAGCCTCGCTCCAGGGAGCGAGGATCAGCTTCTTCTGAGCCAACAACGGCAGCACCTAGGGGCTCCGTGGCGACACGCTGGGCATCGCTTCATCGGGCCTCACTCCAGCTGCTCGCGCGGGCGATGCCCCCGTCCCGCTCTCCAGTGGCCTGCACAAAAAAAAAACAGAAAACAGAAAGGTACAAATTGCTCACCATGTCTGATGTCGCGTGTTTTCTTTGCGCGGGATAGGCATTCCTTGAAATGATGCAGCACATTCCTTATGCAGCAAACAAGGAGGACTGGATCTTGAACCTTGTGCAAGGCTCCTGTCTGTTAAGCTGACTTGCATCTGTAAATACCTGCTAGGTCTTTAAAACAGATGATCACCGGTTCAGCTCGATACCAGCAAATCATCTCAAGCAAATGCCGAAAGAGGTCCTTAATTTTGAGACATACCCAAAGTCTGAAGTCAGACCTTTCGGTGTGCCGCCTTCGCCAGCATCGCGCTGTGGATGTCATCCAGCTCTCTTTGCACCGCACCCGGAAGCTGCGACTGGTCCAAATCCTGAGCACAGGGGTGGTGTGGGCGCGGCGCACTGCATAGATCGATTGGCAATCTTAGTCAAAATACGAAGCGGCGCCCTTAAATGGCTGTTTCCTTTTAGATGTGGTTTTAGCTACCAACCAAAAGCAATTTGAGAAACCTTCAACTTTGACTGTGCAGCTCAACGGACCAGCCTTGCTGGCTCCATCCAGTCTCCTCACAGCTCGGCACGTCTTCCGCGCCATGTCTCGCGGACCCACCTCGAGAAATGCTGTGAGATATGGAATTGTTCGGCAAAGTATGGATGTGGTCCCCGAACATAGTGGGTGCTCTTGGGTACCCGTTTAAAAAATCCTAAGAATGGCACCGAGCCTCCAAAACACACGTCGGTCGCCTTTCAGCCGCCTCTAGGCGCAGGCCTCCAAACGCAGGGGCACGCCCTTCAGCTCCCACCTTGCACCAGGCACGCCACTCGGGGTCTCGCGGCGACTCGTTTCACGGCCCACGGCCTCACTCTGAGGCGATGGCCAGTGGAACTTCCAGCCTGGAGTGTAGTTGTGTCGCGCATCCACCTGCGATCTAGCAACTGAAATCCAGCGCCTCCCGGCCCAGGCATTGATTTCAGTGGGGGCGCCTTTGGGTGGACATCACTTACACCGAGGAAAACATACTCTTGGGGGTCCCTGATTTCCATCAAGCAACGAGCAGGTCACCGGCCTCCACGCGAACCCCATGTCTTCTGAGCTCTGCTGCCAGCTCCTGACATCGGCCTTCGACGCCTGGCAGACGTCCATCACGGGAGGTGTCCGGCGCTCGCGAAGCTCTTGGCGCCTCTTTCTCGCTTATCCAACACATCGGGTGTTGTCACCCACAAAAGCCGTCCGGATTCCCAATTCCCACAAAGGGGAACCTCGCACTAAGGGGACACCCCCGCTATTCATCAACCAGAAGCTTAGTCATCCGAGGTTGGCACTACCAGGATCTGCAAGTCCATCAACTGCACGTCGATCCGGGAGGTTCACGACCAGCCACGAGCTGTGAGCCTGGGCCCTTGCTGAAAATCGCCGGACTGCTTCACCAACACATCCGCCGGGTACGCGTGGCGTGCAAGCCGCTTATGAAGGCCTCTTCCTGTTGCTCCTGCTTTGCCTCCGTTGACCGCGCGCCTGGGCTGTCACGCTTGACGGCAACATCGGCCCAGGGATGAGTCATCGATGGAAAGCAGGAGTCAATCCTTCTCTTTGGCGCAAACCGCTTGATCCCAACCTGTGTATATATCCCAAATCCCAAATCCACCCCTTTGGCCACGTTTGGCCAATGGTATGTCAAGATAGCGGTTTTGGACAAAATGATGGGTTCCCTTTGGTTCTGCTTGAAACCAACCCAAAAAATGGTACCAAAACGCCAGCCACGCCCAAATCCCGCCTGCTTGGCTTTCCGCCGTCTCGCGTCCGCCCTGTCCCAGCGCAGCAAAAGCCGCTCGATACGTTGCACCACCTGCTTGGAACTTGGGAAACCCACAGGTTTGAACCGCGAGAACAAGCTTTGCATCATAGAAGTAACATGCTTTTCTAGGCCTAAACTGGCTAGATGTGAAAACTAGGGACTCTTTTCGGGCGCTGTTTGAATGGGGGCATGTTTTCCCAGGGCCGAGCAACTAACTACATGTCAAAGTAGGGACCTCTTTGAAAGGGGGCCAGCCTGTCTGGGAAAAAGCGTTGGATGCGCATTTTGTGGATTGCACCTGTTCCTTTCCTGGCAGTTGCTTTGGTTTTTGCCCTTCCATTTCTGTTTCCACAAAGGGATTCCGCGTCCAAATGACGCCAATTTGGAGATCACCATTTTCAGTCCGGTTCTTCGGTTGCCAAAAGACTTAAACCTGTGGATGCGTGCACTCACAACCGCTCGAGCCCCTCTATTCCAAAAACGAGAGCCCTGTCGCGCACCAGAGTCCAACCCCCCAGGTCCTTCGCAGTCAGAGAGGCCACTTGGACTGCGCGCCGGTCTTCCCAGCCCATGCGCCGGCGCTCGCGCTCCTGGCCAAATGTTTAAGCCGCTAGGCATGATACTTGTCGAGGCACCGAGGTGTGCAGACGCGGATGGCTTCCCTTTGGGCTGCCCCCTAAACAAATTATCCACGTAGCGAAACAACAAAACATAGAAGACTTTCTTCAACCCGCACTTACATACCAAATGGACACTCCCCCACCAACAAAACACACACTTGAACTCCAGATGGAGAGTGCTAATCTTTCGAGTACAACTGATGAGTCTCGAGTACAACTGACAAGTCTCGAGTAGGATGAGTTTCGGCTCGCAAAGCACTCGGTTTCCCTCTAGAGGCGAAAACGTTACAGAATCAACATGAAGCACACACAGCGGCAAAGAAGAGGGCCAAAAAGACTTTCAGAATCACTCAAAAGGTGCAGGTACACAAGGCTGATCAGGCCTTGCTTCCCACTCTCACCCACAGCTTCATTGCGTGTGGTAGGATGAGAGTGCCCCTGCTGCAACAGAAAAAGGTTTTGGTGGCAGGGTTTTCTGCCACTCCGCACACACACGCCCCTCTACGAGGGGCGAGGTTTCTCTTTTCTCCTGCAGGAAGATCACATGCTCCAACTCGAATCTCTATCGTTGACCAAAATATCCACCACGGCGAGGGGAGCGAGACACAGCCCTAAACCGCTCAGAAGACGGGAACGAGAGATCACCACGTTGAGCGTTGCGAGTGTCGCCATAGAGGACTGAAGCGATTTGCGAAGCAGCCTGGCGATCACCATGAGAAAACGGAGTGGCGTAGGTGAACGTCTCCTCAACTGGAACGGCATCGGAGTTCCGAACTTGACCAAGAGATTGATCATGCGGATAATGAGTTGCGAAGGACTCAATCCGAGACAGAATGCGCTGGTACCCTTGATGTTGCCAGTCACGGATGTCCCATGCCTGGACCGGCTCAGTGGGATCAGTCACCCGCTGCCATTCCCGAAAAGAATTTTCAGGTAGATCAGGTACGGCGTCACCGCGGTGCCATCGTTGAGGCTGTCCTGGAGTGTATATCCGCACCCACTCCTGATCCTGCCAGACCGAATATTCGAGCCATGGGTGCTGCTTCGAATCATCGATGTCCATGTCGAAGTGAGAGGCAAGGATTGTCGCGGGCTCCGATCCAGCTAGTAGAGGAACAGGCACCATGCACAACCATGTTCAAACAACAACCAAGCAAGATCATGCAAGTGTAGAGACCACCCTTATTTTGTACGCTGCGCCACTCATGCGAGTCTAGTCCTCAGTCAGCTCGAAGATGGGACTCGCCTTGTCCCTGCCGCTGTCGGAAGGATTCACGGGCCGGTAGGGCTCGGAGACCCCAATCGTCTCCGATGGTGTGTTTCCACGCGATGCACGTACTGGTTGATGAGGCTGGGAAGCTTGACGTGCGCGAGCTGTCAGTTGTTGAGAAATCCCCTCCTGGAGACGAGTCAGTTCTTCAGTAGAGAAATCAGCCGCATCCGAGGACCTGAGAATCGCGTCTAACAGCTCCGGCGACATACTCAATGCAGACTGCGTGGCCACGCTGTGATGATCAGGGAGATACATGGAATCAAATTCATGACCAGCGTGAGGGGCAGCGACTCTCCGATAGCCCTCTGTGGCCCAGTCTCGTTTGTACCACGTGGTGACTTGGATCTGCCCACCGACTGAGTCCTGGTTGGGAGCATAGAACTCCCTCCATTCTCTAAAAGTATGCGGAGGAGGTGGAGCATCATGTTCTTCTTGTGGCGTCCATGGTCCCGGATGAAAGATCTTGACCCACTGGGCATCTGGTTGTTGAGGATCCGGACACCGCTCCAGCCACGCCATGACAACGCAACCACGGAAAGACAAATTGATAGGTGTACGGCTGCAGACAACAATGAGTGAAAGCGAAACAACTATCATAATGCAAAAGACCACTTTTGCAGCACTGCGCGGCTCCAGCATCGAAGTCAATCTCCCGAATCGAATTGAACTGAACAGACTCCCCAGGAAGGCGAGGACGGGCATCAGCCATCATGTGAATTAGATGATGCCGAGGAGGAGGTCAATCCAGCATACATGAGGTCCGGTGCACCCGAAGCGAAAACTGGCCTCGCGAGACGTTGGTATCCCCTGGTGACCCAGTCCCTGTAATACCAAGTATAGAAGGTTGCATAGGATACCGGTTGCAAAACAGTGCCTGTGATGGTGCCGCCCGTGCTTTCCCTAGGCCAATACACTTCGAAGTGGTGGACCTTGCGCCATTCCCGATAGGTGGTCGGGTCATCCGGGGCCGGTCCCAGGGTGTTCGTGGCGACTGGATGCCACTGACCCGGTACATAGATCCGAATCCATTCCACACTCGTAATTTGCTGGCCCATTGACGATGTCGTAGTCAAAATAGCGAGGTAGTACCCATCGTGCTGCACCATGCGCTGTACTATTGAACATTTCAACCCGGCAAGCCTTCAAAGTTATAAAGGAAAGCGGCGAACAAATAGAGACGGAATGCACACCACCAAGCAAGACAACCCAACGTGGACTCACATACAAAGCAAGCACAACCGCATCTTTATCCGACATGCTACTCAAGTGTCACTCCGAATCATTCCAAGGATCATGGAATGGTGGCGGCGACGGTTCCCGCCACGCCCCATCCGGCACCGATGAGCCCACCGAGGAATCGACGTCTGCATTCACGAGCATCGCGAATCCGATGGATTGTACAGGAGCTCCAAGTCGTTGATACCCTCGTGTTTGCCAGTCTCGGTTTTTTTACACGTGGTAGGATACATAGGAACTGGGCGTGACTATGGGATCCGTTGTGGTGTTCCGGCGCTGTCTTCAGACCAGTACACTTGGAAGTGATATGATCTGCGCCACTCCCGATACGTGGAAGCGTGGAGTGGGTCAGGAACTGGAGCATCATCGGGAACGGGTCTCCAAATGCCCGGAGAGTAAATTCGAATCCATTCCACTCCTCTAGCGATCTGGTACTCGAAATGCTGGGGGTTCATAGCGGCAATACAGGCTCGCACGACAGCTAAAACTAGTCGAAAGTCTGCGGCAAAGACACACATGCATTGCCAACAGCGCACATCCGCTGGAGAGTGATGCAACTTTTCAAACTCAAGGTGAAACACAGCAACGAGGTCTGGAATGTCCGACCCCTAGGTTTCACTGTCGTTGATGTCGCGCACACCTGCAATGATAGTGTCCTGGTCGTCTGCGAGCACAAGGGGAAAGACATTTCCGCCCATGGCGCAGGATGGCATGACAGTAATGTTTGCAAGTTGCCGATGGGGACTGCGATGGACGGCCAGCACGTTTGGAAGAGAACACTGTAAAGGGCCGTCGAGATCGCCGCGGCGCTGAAGCGGATGCTGTCCGAGATCGTTTGGACGAGCGCCCTGGACTGCGTGGTTCTTCATCACGGGAAGGGTCAGTGCTGTAGATCGAGCGGCGTGTGCGCTGCGATTTCGAAGAGGTAGGGCAGGATTGTCCGCGAGGGGCTGAGATCGAGGGGCTGCGTACTGAGGGCATAAACTGTGGGTGTAGAATCACCGGTGGTGGTGGTGGTGGTGGAGGAGGAGGTGGAAGAAGCAATGGCAAACTTGGCGGGGGCGGAGGCGACGTAGTCTGCCGAATGGGTCTGTCGAGTAAAGCCCCGGGTCCATGAAATTGTAACCACGTCGGCTGTGCTCCATGGGTCCAGGTAATGTACGTCTGTACAACTTGTTCCGACATGATTTGAGCAACTCAGTCATGACTTCACTTCATGTCAACGGCATCTCCCAAAACGACAAGCAAGAGTAAGTCACGTGCAAGCAAGCAAATATCATGTGATCAACAACAAGAGCCGGACACGCCGCCGCAGCTTACCATTTAGTCCTCCGATGGTCGCTGCTGCATTTGACGACCGCGTTCCTAGCCGCGAGCCTCAAGTTGTTGATAGACCTTCCATGCCTGCTTGACTTCCTCAATCGGCTTCTGAAGAAACCGAGCTATGGTCTTATAGGTGGGCCTGGAATCCTTGTCTTTCTTCCGTCTCACCATCTCATCCAGCTCACCCTGTGTCCATGCCGTGAAAGGTTCACGGTATGCATTGCGAAGTGCAATGGTGAATTCTTGTAGAAGTTCCCGAGGACCATGAAACACCGTAGGCGACGGCCGGAACGACGAGGCACCTGGATGCGGACGTACCGAGCCGTCAGAATCCGAATCAGGTGTCGTAGGCGACGTCTGTCCTGGCTCTCGGCCACCGTGTGTGGCGAAGGGAGCAAGTGGACGAGGCGGTGGCAGTCGATCCAACATCGATTCGGGCCGAGTACCAGGATTGTGGTCACTAGCATCCCGATGTGCCGTTCGAGGCGGGGACAAGGCCGGTATGTACCAGGTAGATGACGTGTCCACAGGTCGGGCTCGAATTCGTGTGGGAGAACGGGATCGGTCAGACGAAGCGCGCTCCGTGATGATGCGGGGCCGCAGCCCATGTCTGGAGTTCCGTGGTGCCCTGGGAGTCACCAAAGTATCTGACGGATGGCTACGCTCAGTCATCAGGGCAAAGTTCAGGGTGTCCAGGGCTGTCGCAACTTGGGATGCAAGGACATTGAGTACCGCCACCAGGTTATTCACAAACTCGGCTGACAACTGCATGGCAACCGATCAAACCGCAAGGTCAACTCAAGCAAAGCTGCAAAGCTATAACGCTGCGGCATGGCAAAGATATGGTGCATGCAAACATGAATGTAGCAAACGCTGAGGTACTTTTATCGCTGGTGCTCCGTCACCGTTCATACGACAGACCTGATGGTCGGCAAGCTGGCATGGCTTTGACCGCCGGTGGATACTTCGGAGTGTAAGCATGTCGGCGGGACGTGGGAACCGCATCATCTGGACGGTCCGGGAGCCGTCGGTGATGGCTGCGGGATCGTCTCCGGCGCGGCTCTCGATGCCTAGATCTTCGCCTTCGTCTGTGTTCCCAGGAGGTGCTGACACTCACCGTGCGTACGTGAGCAGGGTG